AAAAAAAAAACTACAGTGCCACAGAAGAGCCCAGGAAAGTGACATAAAGCTCAGCCTCGGATTGGTGACCCACACCTATAATTCCCAGCACTCAGGAGGCTGAGGCAGGAGGATGAAGAGTTCAAGTCTAGCCTGGACTACATACACCCTATATAAAACAACAAAACAGAAGATCAGATCTACCCAGTGCCAATGGCCTGTAGATCACAGATGTCCATTCATCTCCCCTAGATTTTAGGTATCTCACTTCAGGGTGTGGTAGAAGGTATGTAGTTATAGCTTTCTGGGCAGATATGTTTTCACATTTTAAAAAGTTTTTACTCTTTTTTTTTTTGGTACTGGGAATCGAACTCAGGACCTTGGGCTTGCCAGACAGGCGCTTATGCCGCTGAGCTATATCCCCGGCTCTAAAAGATTTTTAAACTGGACTTGGTGGTGCACACCTGTGATCCCAGCACTTGGGCAGCTGAGGCAGAGGGATTGCAGTGAGTTTGAGGCCAGCATGGGCTACATAATGAGTTCAAGGCCAGCCTGGTATAGCAAGACCCTGTCTCAAAAATTTTTCTTTTAATGCTGCGTACAAGGGGTAGAAATAGTCTGAGAGTGGAATTTTGTGTCTAGGAAATCAAACTGAGGTACAAACGTCAACCACTGCTCCTGCAGGCTGCCCATCCCTGTCCAAGTGTGAGCCCGTGGCGCTGCTCATGGCACCCATCACCACCCCTGCTGCTGGAGCTGCAGCCCCTGAGCAGGAACCCAGAGCCTTCCCTCTGCTGCAGCTGCCAGACATGCCCCAGACACAGCGGAAGGGCACTTACCTTCCTCCAGCCAGAAAGCACATCCTCTGGGCAAGAGGCCGGTCAGCCTGAATGAGGTCCTGGCATTTGAGACACCCAGTTTAACATTTGGATACTCTTAAATGCAATTGTGTCTTAAAAAAAAAAATAGTTTCATGTTTGTTTTGTTTTGTTTTTGAGACAAAGTCTCACTGTACAGTTCAGACTGGCCTTGAACTCACTATATAGCCCAGGCTGGCCTCGAACTCATGGTGATCCTCCTGCCTCAGCCTCCCAAATCCTGGGATTACAGGCGTGTGCCACCACGCCCAGCTCCAACTTTTAATGGTAGACAAATTATGTTTGTCTAGAAGGTTTTCCCATAAAAATTCTCCAAATTTCTGTTTGGCAAAATTCAACATAAAAATACAGATTTTTAAGGAAACTTTCTAAGCAGCCATTCTACACTCTTTTTTGGCTCCCCCATTGGCTACTGTGAATAGTGCTGCTATGACCATGGGAGAAGACCCTGCTTTCAGTTCTTTTGGGTATATAACCGGAAGTGGAATGGCTGCATCACAAAGAAAATTGATTTCTCATTTTTGAAGGAGCAGCCACACTGTTTTTCTGTGGTAGTTGCACTATTTTAGTCTCAATAGCACAAAGCACTCCAGTTTCTTCACATGCCTGACAACATCTGTTATTTTTTTAAGAAGATGTACTAATGGGTGCAAGATAACATCTCATTGTGGTCTGCGTTTAAGTTTTTAAAGTTTGACAAAGCCTAGTGTCTTAGTGATTTTCTCACTGCTGAGACATAGTATCCGACACCCAAAATTAAAGGAGGGAAGGCTTATTTTAGCTCACAGTTTGTAGAGGTTTTAGTCCATGGTCGGCTGGCTTCACGGCAGGGTAACATGGCAGAGGGGCACCACAGAGGAGAAACAGTCCATGGCACCGCAGGCAGAAGGCAGGCCTGCAGCAAGCAGCAGCAGCAAGCCTGCCTTCTTTCTCCCCTTTTTTATCCCATCCAGGCTACAAGCGTATTGACCGGTGCCACCCACACCCAAGATGGGTCAACTTCTACAAGAGAAATCAAAAGGAAACTTAAAAAAAAAACCACAAATCCTAAATGCAAGGAATTCCAACAATGAGCAGTTCACAGGTAAAACTCACCTCTTGCTGCTTTGGAGCTCCTCTACACACCCTGGCATTCATCTGCCAAGATGGATTCCTGTTTTCCCCAGGCACAGTTACTGTGAGCCACGCCTGGATTCCTTTATGGCAAATTAGATGTTTGCACCACAGAATGGTGTGGGTGAGGCCCAGGCACACATACACAAAATGCTACATGCACCATTATATGGGTAAAAAATCTTAATTTGACACTTTTGCACAGGGGTACACACCTAGCTGTTCATTGTACCAAGTGGGTGAATGAACATGAAGATTGCTTCCTGTATCCCTCAGGTGCAGCTACTGAGAGGCACACTCAGCTACCATTATGCTGAAGTTCATAATTTCATTATAAAAGTATGGAACCAGCTATGGTAACCCACAATAACGCCCCAAAGGTTTAATTTCAGTCCTGCAAAGTCCCAGGACACGAGCAAAATGTAGACGAATTTTCTGCCATAGCATAACATATGTGACCTGGAGTCCCATGGCCGGTGGAGTTCTTGTTCCCACCTGAAGCCTCCTGAGCCTGGTCTTTTCTG